AATGTGCAAGCTTCAAGGACAGAAAGACATCGGTAAAAACATTTGCAAAGGTTTCAGACAATTAGCCTAAAGGTTTAGCCTTGTGCTGAGGTCTGATCTTAAAGGAATAATTCAGCATTGTGAGAAATATGTTTAATTACGTTATTGCTGAGAGTTGGATGAGAAGATCAATACAACTTTTATATCTGTCCATTCAGTATGAAACTAGAGCCAAAAGCCAGTTATTAGCTTAGCATAAGGATTAGAAATGGGGGAAAAAGCCTGCCTGGCTTTGTGTAACTCCCTGAAAAATCACAATTTGTCAGTTTTGTTTATGTATGGCTTGAGTAAACGAAATACAGCATTTTTTTTATCTAGTTTGGACATAGCTAGACTAGCCATTTCCTTCTGCGCACAGTCTTTATGCTGATCTCAGCTTATTGTTGCCTGGCTCTAGCGTCGTACCTTTTCATCGACTTTCTCATCTAACTATTGGCAAGAAAACAGATTAGCATGTTTTCCAAACTGTCAAACTATTCTTTTTAACAGTTTAACTTTAAAAAAGAAAGGCTTTAGGCGTGCACCTCCAGTCACAACTCACCCCCGCAAATCCATCTTGAGCTTTATCTGAAACAAGAGTCAAGTCTTTGTTTTGAGTTACGAAAAAAGGTCATCCAGCTGGCAGCAAGTAAACAGAGTCTCATGGTAGAATGCTGTAGGATGTGCACAATGAAGCGCACAACCATTCATGTTTCATACCAATGAGCTGAATAGAAGATAATTGGATAAATAGAGCTAGCATACTGTATGCTTATCAAGGTTCAGTTGACACAGAGATGCTGACAAAGGAGACATTTTTTGGTTTTTGGGCAAATGTTTATAAGCAGCTTTTCAGATCAAATTGGCTCACCCCATTGCTCCTCTTTCTTATCGCCTAGTCAAGGCATTTCTGTCTAATATCTAAATTCTGTCCCTCTCTCCTCTTTTAAGTGACATGGCTGTTACATAAACCTGAATGGAGGAGGAAACCACCTGCAGCCAACATGAGCTACAGTAGTGGCATTCGACGTGTGTATTTTTTTTGAAGTTGAAGCCACGGGTTTGGTTGTATTAATAGTTCTGCTCAGTGAACATATCTCTCAACACGTTCCTCTTTACAGCTCTGTGACCTTGTTTCCTCATTCATCACCCTGTCCTGTCCTGTCCTCTCCACTGGCTTCACGTTGACTTTAAGCCCTCTCAGTCTGCTGACTTCATGCCTGTAGTCCTTCCTGATGCTCCACTCTCACACCTTACTAATCCTTAACCAGTGTCTGTATAGACCTTTGAATCGGGAAACAACTGATGTAGACCTGCTCCTACGTTGATAACAATCCCTAGGCTGACATTAATTTGCTGTTGCCTTTCAGGAGGTCCTATTTCAGTAGTTTGACTTCCAACTTGCTTGCTTTTTACCTCAAAAGTCAACTCTTACAATTTTATTGTTGTAATAATCACCATAGCGTATTTTCTATTAGTGTGTCATTAGGCATTTTTTATATAATGTGGTCAAAAGACAAATTTGTTTTCATCACATTGTTCAGGGGAACATAGGGTTTTAGGGAATTGCATAAATAAAAGAATGTTGGATGCCATATTTACAAGATGAACTATGCATTTAGGGCTTGAATATTATTAACTATAGGCAAGAATATAGAGGTACAATAGCTCTGCTACCAGTTGGCTTGGCAGTGGCTGAACACTGTCCATTAACAATGAACAGTAATGTTCACCTAGTAATTTTTCTCGCTGTGTTAATGTCCTAACTATTACAAATCTTTCTCATTACTATTTCATGTTTTTTTTTTTTAAAGACATATTTTTCTAGAGACAACAATCCAATAATCAGCAATCCAATAATCAATAATAAATGACTGAAAGAAACTCTGAGGTGACCTCTGATATTTCCCCTGCCTTATGTTGCCCTCTCCATCTGCACTAATTTCCACGGGTCACCTTCCATCAGTGGCTGCCAAGGTCAGCCACATAGCTGAATGATTGACGTAGACATGCAGATTCATTATGTCAGGCTAAAGTGTAATGAAACCTGTGTGTGAACCAGGCCCAAAAAGATCTCCAAGCCACCCTTAATCAAATAAAGCTACATACCACTTGTGTTTCAGGCTAATGTGATCAGAAGGCAGCTGTTAATAGAAACCTCAGAGAAAGGTTACCTAGTATTTCAAAGTAAACAACCCTACTGGACATGTGCTATGGTGTCTATGTCCTGTTCACTGAATGTCGTTCGGCTTTGAGCCTGCGGCTGCAGTGGTGTTGCTGTCCTGTACTGTACCTGTTTCCTTCATTATTGAGGAGGGTGTGAGAGAGATGCCTTTACTGTTGTGGTGGTTCATGTCTGCTGAGGCTCAGCAGGAACCTGACCCCTGCCTGCTTACAGGCCCTGGCAGAGAGTCACTGCAGCAACGCACAATGCAGTATTCAAGGCCAGTCTGGTAAAATATTGAACACAACAATGTGCTGACAAAGGGGACATCCTTACAATGAGAACAATGGCAAGGGCAGAGCTGTGTATTCTGATATCGTTGTGACTTATTTTTAGGTTTGGGGAAGTGCTTCAAATGGACTGGTACCGTATGCTGCAGCAGTCACAGTTAAAGCATGCTTATGCAACACTTAGACTGTAAGCTTTGTGATAAGCCTTAACACACGCGGATGAAAATGGTGCAACTCTAAAAGCATGTGTATACAGTTGCTGTTGGTTTATCTAATTAGACAGGTTTACGATGCATCTCGTTTGCTAAACATGCTTGTGCACCATGTATTAACATTTTAAGCCATACCAAATAATTTAATCACATTAGGTGATACATTTGCAATAATACAAGGCTTGAAATGGACAACAGCAGCACTTTGACGTGTTGAACGTTTAGAGGCAAACTACTAAAGCAGCATGCAGTCTAACAGAATTGGAAGTAAAGAAGATATTTTGTACTACCATTAAACAAATGTCTCAGTCCATCATTAAAAACACGCTCCACTAACAATTTCAGTCAATAAGCTCCTTTTTGGTTTTCTGTTATCTCTGTTCGTGACGCCAAGCAGCAGCCCCCCGAGGGGATGTTTTACTCAGACAGTTAAGAGGCAGTTAATTGTAGATCAGCTCCAGCAGTTTGCCAGAGGGCACTTGTGTTAACCTTGTAACTGCGGTGCACCGTAAGGGCACGATGTCCCACTAGAGTCTCTTATCACTTAGAAGTCAGCAGGCTCCTATAAATGACGTCATAAGGCTCTCGGATTCAAACTGTAACGCGATTACAGACCTCACTGACCAAATAAGATCTTTTTAATGAGCCTCTTTTGTAGAAAATTTTTTTGACAGAAAAGTTTGACACGCTTTACTTGCAAAATACACAAACTGGATATGATTTCATTATTTTTCCGTATTTCTTCATCGCACTGAAACCTCTGATGGCTCAGAAAAAGGTAGACTTTTTCTGTGATATTCAGTTTTTAAGTATCTAGAGTTACAAAGAATATAAATCAATGGAGAGACTGTGCAAACATCCATGGTGGTTCAGTGAAGTAAAAGAGTGGAACTAATGATGCTGGATGATGTAGTGAACATTTAACCGGATTAACTCTTCCAAAATAGAAAGCACTGTACAAGAAGGTACATCAAAAAGAAACTTAAGGCATTTGAAAAGCTTCCCTTTTTTTGTTTCATTACAACACAAATGTAGCCCACTTAGCCTACTTAGAGGGGATGTGATCCTGCTGAGATTTCCATATTTATTTTAAACGGTTTAGTCAGTGCTTTTGGACTTGGTGTTCAGACCACATGGAAAGAAGTGTTTTTGTTAGTCACCGCAGCAATTCAGCAATCTTATCATGGCTTCACAAAACACCCACACACACACATACACATACACACACAGTCCCACTCACACATACAGTCACAAGCACAGTCATATAACACACACACATCTGCACACTCACACACATAGCACACCTATCCTCTGTCTCCCTCTCTACTCCTTTTTACTGTATTTCTATACAGGCAGTCTTATAAAAATAAATTAGATGTCCCTCCCACACACTCACTTTGACTCCTGCACATGTTACATCATTCCTAATGCCACATTTCTTTTATCTCTTTACACTGTCAGCTAATCTCTTGAAGGAGCTTGACCACAAGTAGCGCACTTCATTTTGTGTGTTTAATCGTTTCTTCGATCAGCCATATCTAAAGAAACAGAACTATTAAGGTCTGGAGATGCGCTGGAAAGTTCTTCCTGGAAATGAAAATCTAACAGTAAATTAAACCAGATAAGTTATTTGAGTGCTCAAACGAAATCTGTTACGATGTTGCCTTTTAACTAGGAACCATCTTTTAGAGAAGTTTAAAAGCTTGCACAAAAGAATCAAAGACCCAACCAAAGCTGTGATTGTCAGCAGAGGGGTCTGTCTGGGCTGCGATAGGCTCAGAGACGGCAGCTTTAGGAGCAAGTTGTTGTGAGTAGTCAAGCTTTTGCACTGCTGTTGGGGATTTTAGTCAGATGGCGGCTGAGGGATCCCGGTGTGCTGTGAGAAATTTCAATGGATGTCATGGTGGGCCTGCTTAAGACTCACTTCCTCTCTGACTTTCCCCTGACATTTTACTGCACACACGCACACACACACATTCTCATTGTCAGCACATGTGTTACTGTCTTTCCTTACCCATCCAATCTATCTGTGTCAATGCTGCAGTACATGCAGACCGTGTTCAAATCCATACAAAGCCATGTTCTTCTCAGCTTCCATGACTGTAAGCTTCCACTGCAGTAAAAAACCTGAAAAGCAGACTTTCCTCACATTAAAGAAGAGTGATAGCGTTGTTTATTTATTTATCAATCAATCAATCAGAGTCAAAAATGAGTCCTACTCTAATGGTCATACCCACCGCCAGAGTGCAAAATATCACAAATCACTGCCGCCTCAGCGCTGCATTAATGTTAATGTAATTCTCTCTGTTTTGACAGGAACCTTGGGAAGTCGGGCCTGCGGGTGTCCTGCCTTGGATTAGGTAAGAGTCTCTTGGAAGTTTCCTGCACCTTAAAGAAAAAACTTTGTATACCAGATCTGTGGGGGGAATTTATAACCCTATGGTCCCTAATCTGTAAGTGGGGAGAAAGTGTGAAAATTTAAGTTCCTGTGACTCTGCACAAGTTATAACATGGCTCAAATACATTAGCCAAACTCTGTGCCCTTTCATAGCTAGATCATGTTTCTTGTACAGTGTGTACAGCAACTGTGCACATGTGTGTTTATGTACTTATACTCTATACCCCACCTTCCCTGTCGTCCTCTCTAGGAACATGGGTGACGTTCGGCGGACAGATAACGGATGAGGTGAGAGCAGATGGATTTTGTCATCTTCCATCAGTCAAAGCTCAGAAATGGAAACCTTGCATCTGATCTGGCATATCTTGCTCAAGAAGCCTATTTTTACCTGTAGTGAAAACATACTGCCAGAGGGAGCCAACAGCCAGAGAATAAACACATGTTATAGGAAGGCAAAGCCATTAAAGCCAGCTTTAGTCTTGTGAAGGAAGTTTAATAATTGAAAAGACCCTAACACCTCATATCAGTAGTGTCTCACCCCATCCTCTGTCTTCTCTGTTCCCTCTCCCCTGCTCTCTCAACAGATGGCAGAGCAGCTGATGACTCTGGCCTATGAAAATGGCATCAATCTGTTTGACACAGCGGAGGTCTACGCTGCTGGGAAGTGAGTATATCCTGTGCCACAGGTCACCTGGCAGTGAGCAGTAATACCACATATTACCAAGCTGCTCACATGTGATTGATTATAAAAGCACCAGGTAGAGATTACTAGTTACAGTTTGTCAGATGTGTTCCACAGTGGTGCACAAGCAAAGGTTCGGGGCATTAGTGAGGATCTCAATACTGCATTGCTACATACACAGTCATGGTAAGTCCCTGATACTTAGAGGGTCAGTTTACCCAAATCACATAAACATATTTGGACTACTTTAGGTGTCTAATTATATAAATCGTTAGGGTTTTCCCAAATACCATTTTTGGGGCTTCGAAGAGAATGACCTACAAATATTCAAACGTTTGACATGGACCCAACATTACACAGACGTTGATATCAATGCTAAAACGTCATCGTTATGGATGAGTACTCCTCCTCTTCCTCCACACTCTACCCAGGCACCACGCCTTGCCTAAACCAAGGTTCAGGTGATAGAGGACATAGAAATACAATTTATATGTTTATATGTTTTATATGAAGGGGTTGATAAGGCAGTGATGCAAAGTGAGTGTCACACTGCCAGCCGTGGATAATGCTTTGGGTTTTGACATGTCTTTAAAAACAAAAAACAAAAACAAAGCATTCTAAAACTGATTTGGCTGCCGGTTACAACGGCATGTGGTCAAAGCCTCGAAGCATTCGGGTGAGCCCTACACAAAGTATGAATTACAATGGATGTAAATGGAATTTGGTTGTTGTTTTTAAAAGAATTACTTCACTCTCATCAGCAATATGTTTTTTCAGAAACAGTCTTGTTACTCCTTTTTTTAAATTTTATTTAACCTTTATTTAACAGGAACCGAAGAGATGGAGGGAGCGGCGGGGCGACGCGAGAAAACCCCACCAAAACGCAAGGAAAGGGTGCCGCTGACCGCAGCCGTTGGCGGGAGGATGGTCCGACACCACCGCTGCCCGGCGAAGCCAGACGAGGTGAGAAGCAGGAGAAGGAAGGAGAAGCGAAAAGAGAAGAGCATGACACCCGGAGGGGGAGAAGAGGCAAGCCCGAAGGAAAGAAATGACGCCCGAGCGCACACAAAGGGGCAGAACCAGAAGAGAGCCGCAGGAAAAAGAGCACCGGGGAGAACGGGAGGAAGAAGCTGCCAGTCAGAGGCAGGGTGCCCGGGGGCCCAGCGCGGCGGGGAGCACCACGATGGCACTCAGAGCACCGGAGGGCGAAGAGGGACAAGGACGAGCAACAGGCGGGCCAGGAAGCGGGCAGAAACCGCTGCAAGAGAGAGGAGGTCCGCCCAGGCCGCGCACGCGACAAGAAGGAGACAACGCTCCGGGGACACAGGGCACAGAAAAGGGAGGGGAGCGCCCGGAGAGGAAAAAAAACAAAACAACAACGAGGAGGGGGGGGATCAGGACGGGGGGGCACTAGCTGGAGTCAAGAAAGCGAGCCGGTCGAATCAGAGGGGGGTGGCAAAGGAAAGGGGGGGGGGCCCGAGGGGGAAAACGAGAAGGACCAGCAGCAGCGCACGGAGGACACAGCACAGGAGAGCCATGAACGGGGGGGCGAGGGAGAGAGAACAGGCGGATGAGGGGGGTGACAGAGGCGTCACCGAAACGAGAAGACGAGGCGGAAACCAGAACGTGAAAGACGACCAGCGGACAGTCGTGAGAAGTGCAGGTCAGTGGAGGATGACGTGGAGGAGAAACGAGAAAATCGGCCAGGAAACGGAAGGAAGGGAACGCGGGAGGCAAGGGGGCGGGGAGCGGGGCAACGACAAGCCCCTCCGGAGGCGAAGGAACGGAGAACCAGAGGAAACATGACCGGGAACGGCACTGAAAGAACCAGGATTGTTTCAGCGCCGGGCGGCGGGGAGAGGGCAGGCAGGAAGCGGGGGAGGGGAAACACGGAACGGGGGAGGCGACAGAAAGAAATCGGGACGGAACGGGCACGCGCTCCAAGGAGGGGGGGTGGGCGGAGCTGGCCGCGCGCGGACAGCGAGGAGAGGAGGGGAGGCCGCCAGGGCGGGCAGCGCGGGACACGGAGTACCAGACAGAGGCAGCGGAGTGGGCGCCAGGGGGATGCAGCCTGACGGGCCGACCCGGGGAGAGAGAGAGACGGGAGAGGGAGGGGAGTGCCAACACGGGCAGGGAGGAGAAGAGGAGAAGGAAGAGAAACAAAGAACGCAAAAGAGAGGAAGGAGAGTATGGAGAGCCAGAGAAGACGGGAGAGGGGAGGGAGTGCCCGGCGCTGTGGCCCAACCACGGCAGGGGGCGGGAAGCAGCAGGACTGCGCGCCAGGTTGAAGTGTCCGAGGAGGGGGCGAGGGGGACGGAACAGGGGAGGGAAAGAAAAGCGGCACGAAATGACGGGTAACGCCGGCCAGTGTGGCAGGAGGGGGGGGGCCTCCCGGGGTGCCACAGGATGAAAAAGGAAAGGCAAGAAACGCTGCCCGACTCCGGGGGAAAGGCCCGAGAGAGGCGGCGGAACCAACACGCAGGAGACTACAGGAGGAGCGGAGGACGACGGGCGGGTGCCCAGACACGGCCCAGGGGAGCCCACCACCTGGGGAAACAAGGGGCACGCAAGCACGGCCCCGGGAGCAAGAAGGGGGGGGGGGGGCCATGAGAACACGGGGGGACGAGGTGGGGGCGCGGCAAACACCCACCACAGGACTGGGGGGGCCCCGCTGAAAGGGGAGTAAGGGAGAGCCCAAACAGAAGGTGACAGGGGCCGGAAGCAGGGGGACGGCTCAAGCCAGCAGGAAGGAGGGCGTGGGGGCAGGGCCGAGGCGAGTGGAGGTGACGGACGGGCAGAAGCCAATACAGAAGCTGCAGGATGCAGGGGGAGAGAGGGAGACGGGCAGAGGCGCTGAAGGATGGCAAGGGCACGGGGGGCACGCAAGACCAGCAAACGAGCAGCGAGAGCAAAAGGCGAAGCCGGGAAAGAAAAGGAAGAAGCAAGGCGGGCGGCCAAGTACGGCAGACTTGGAAAGGCAGACGCAGAGGGGGTGCGAGAACAGCAGCGACAGGGAGGGCAAGTAATGGGAGAGCAACGTAAACAATAGAGGGAGACAGGGCAAGAACCCCAGGAGGCGGGAGGGGAGGAGACGCGAGTGAAAGAAGCACCAATCAGGAGCGAAAGTAGGCGGGGGTTGTGGGGGGGCGCGCGGGGGGGAAGAGCGAAGCCAGGACAAACAGGCCAAACAAAAACCAAAACGGCCAAGCACTGGGGCAAGCAGGGAGTGGGACTGAGCTGATGCTGGCACGGACGGACGGACGGACAGCCGGCCAAAACACCAGCCAGTTCGCGGAGGCTGGAACGGAGGACGAAGGCAGGAAGCAGCACCGAAGACTGCACAGGAAAAGCGGTGGCAAGCGGATGGAAAGGGCGGAGCTGGGCGACGGCGGTGGATGGGGAAAGAAACGCGCCGCGAAGCGGCAGGATAACACCTGGCAGAACAGACGGAGCGGACACGGCACAAACAAGGGCACCGGGCCGAAAACAGAGGGGCCGGCGGTCAAACTGGTGCATGATGGGAGCGAAAAGGACCAAAGTGGGGACGGAAAGCGCGGTGGCAAGAGCAACCGGGCGGGCGAGATCCGAAAAAACAAAGAAGCGGAAACAGCAGACTGCAAAGGCGCGCCAGGAACAATGAAGAGAGGGGAGGATACAGGAAGAGACAACAGCAGAGAGGAAGAAAGGAGAAAACCACGGAGACCGAGTTGCAGGGCCGTGCGGGGGGTGACGGGAGTCGGGGCAAGACACGGGCACTCGGAGGCAGCGCCAAAAAAACAGAAGGGCAAACGAAGAATATCGGGGAGAGGAAAAAAAAAGAGAACGGGGCGGACGGGTGGGCAAAGGAGAAGCCCAGGAGGAGGCAAAGCCTCAAGACGACAAAGCAGAGGAATCATGCGGAACGGAAACCCAGACGACACACATCCAGAAGTCAAGACAAGGGGGGGCGGAGGAAAAGAAGACGAGGAAGATCGAACCCGCATGAAGGGACGGAACAATGAACGAGGGGGGAGGAAAAGGACGAGTCAGTGAAGACCCGAAGTCAAGGACAAAACAGAAAGCGGGGGGGCCCGGCAGGCACGGGAACTTACGGCGGAACAAATAAGTGCCCAGTGAAAACGTGGACAGAGCAAGAGAGAGAGGAACGCCGACAAGACCGCGAGGGGGGGGACGACAAATGCGGGGGCCAGATGGGAGAAGCCGGGAAAAAAACGCAGACCCAAGGGAGGGGCATGGAGAGGAAAAAGCGGGCCGGAGACAGCAAGGAAAAGGCGGGGCAGAGCACAGTTCGTAGCAGTGGGGAGAGGGGACCGAAGAGGGAGGCACCGCGAGGAGGAAAAAAAACGGGAAGGAGAACCACTCAGCCGGGGCGGTGCAGGACAGGGGGCACATCCAACGGTCACCACTGCAGGCGGGTTAGGGAACGGACAAGGGGCCGAACCGCCCCAGGAAAAACCAGTATGGATCACGAAAGCGGAAGGTGAAACCCCGTGTGACAGGGGAAAAGCTGGGTCGGAACCAGAAGGGAGTGGTACAGGAAAAGCCAGAAAAAAACAAGGTTGAGCCATCAAACAAGAACAGAACTGAAACACTCGCACATATGCACTAAAGTCGAATGAAGCAAAACACCAAAACGAGAATCCCTCACCGAAACAAAAACGAAACAAACACAGAACAGCAATAACGGGAGGCCTAAGAGCGACAGAAGGAAGACAACAGAAACAAGAAGGTACACTGAACGTCCTCCGCAACGTTGACTTGATAAAAGGGGTTTATGTTTTTTAAAAGTATTAAAAGGTGAAGTGATTCTAGATTTAGGGGTGTTTTGCAAATTCATTCCAGCATTTAAGTGCATATGATGGGAGACAAGCTGTTTTACCAAGTTCTGTTGCTTGTTGATGGAATAAACTAATAGTATTATTTTCTGGAACGACCTTGTCCTGCTAAACACTTATTATGGTTAGAAAGGCAAATTTGTTAAATGCTAAAGGGTGTAATTTACCCATTAAAGGCTTTAGCAATGAAAATCAAATAAATGGAATTTCCTCTGAGGGGGAGGAGTTAGGACCATTGGGTACAGTTTCATACAGAATGCAGTTGGTTGAGGTCCTGGCTGCTGCACCCTGTAATGAAACGCAAGGCTTCAGTGGTATAATAATTAGCTTTTTTTAATAAAGATGGAAGAAGATGTGCATATAAGATTAGGCTCGACCATAGTCCAACACTGGATAAGAATGTGCTCCTGCCACCAGCCTTTTCCTTGCTTTGTGATAAGAAAGCACTTCATTAATCTAAAATAGAAACCTAAACTTGGGTCTGAGTTTTTTTAAAAGG